GATATGAGAAAATAGAAGCTGAATGCAGAAAATTAGCTACATCATCTTTTTTTCTCTTCGTCTCAGAAGCTGTGTTACAGCTCCAAACTAAACGTCTCCAAATCTTGACCACAGGATGACATTTCTGCTTTGTGGCAGCTCTTCAGGTTGTGACACTTATTGTTGCTGCTGTTTTTTTATTCTTTACTATGATAAAAACAAATTGTTTCTGTTGTTTGCACAAAATGGAAGTGTGTCAAAGTGCATGTTTTCAGAATCAAAATTTCTGAATTGGCACATGTGCAGCTGTGATTCCTGGTGATCACAATGCTGTCCTGAAACACTGGCTCTCTCCTACTTTTCAGACCTGCAGAAAAAGCTTCACCAAAACTGATGCCTTCCTGAAAATCCTCTGACTAGTGAAGCAGCCTGTTTCCTGTATGATAAATGAATAGTACGTCCTAACCACCCCTAATGTGCAGGATATGGGTGAGTGACTTGAAATTGGTATGAGAATAAGAACAAATGGAATGGACTGAGGGATAGGAAAAATGCCCATTTACAGTGCATTTCTTGTCACAAGAATAGAGACAGATTTCTCTAAGTATAGTGATATTTCTTCCTGCCCCAGTGGTAGCATTTTTAAAGAGGGTGTTGCCATGGAAAGAGTAACGCACTTTATACATAAGAGCAAAGCAGCAATATATTTACTGATATGTAGTGATCTAACAAATTTTAATCATAAGTAAGACAGCAATTAAACAATCTGAGGTGGCAAGGTGTATTTCATTACCTATTGCATAGAAGATAGGGTTAAGCCCACTCGTTTAAGAGATCTGGACCCTCCCAGGCTCAGAGTGTAGACTTCCTTGCCTTCTAAACTCCTTGAACCACAAAGATAAGGAGCCTACTTCCACTCTGAGTCCCACACTTGATCAATGTCTAATATTTAAGGGATTATATGTGCACAGTCAATTAACGATATGGTCTTAGTGCAGCTTGAAATGTTTAGCAAACTGTTAGTCGCTTCCTGAGGACCTGTAATGTCAAAGAATATTTTGTCGTCAAGGCACGAGGGATTTCTTCGATAGGTGTAGCTTTGAGAGATGTCCCTAGTCAAGGGGGGATCCTGTCATGCAGCCTGCTATAAGAGGTACAGGTAAGGAGAATGATTCATAGTCATATTTGCATACAACTTCACAGTCATATTTACATACAACTTCACAGTCATATTTACATATATGCTTCATTCAAATTTCGCTTGAGTTGGACATTCTTCCAAACTTTTCTTCAAACAAACTTCCAAACTTTCAATGTTCCCTTGAATATTGACCAGTGCCTTAGCAGACATATTGTTTAAATTAGCCCTTGGCTATTGTGGTGTTGTCTGTTATCCACAAATCTTCTTTGATCCAGATGAAGTCATCACAACCAATCACATCCATCATGACTGCCATAGTTGGTTATCTGCTTAAGTTGAATGCAGCCATCATAATCTCCTCTGGCAGTTATCACTTGAACAGGGTTACAGGAAGTAAATGTTGTGTGGCAAGGGAGCCACACAGTCACACCACTACAGTCCCTGATCCAATGGGAACTGGAATGAAAATAATACCGAGAATATTTAAAATTCACATCCCAAATATTTTTTCTTTACATATTTGCACTCTCAATTGGCATTAGCATGCAAGTCTTCTACCAGATGCAAGCACAGCTAAGTTCATCAAAGATAACAGGTAATTCTGAGTAATGACTAAATGGCACTCACAGGTATCTACTTTCTAAAAGTGAAATGAATAGTTCTGGTTGTAATTACCAACTAGGGTTCTACATACAAAGCTATCATTTATGAATATTGAACTAGGCTTTATTTAACTATGCTAGGTATGTGTCAGTTTACTTTCCTAATGCAAAAAAAAAAAAAAAAAAATCTAGTCATTATCACTAGAACTGTTTGTTAAAGTTGAAAGTAGATAAATCATTAATAAGGATGTCATTTATTCATTACATTTAAAATATATATATTCACTTGTCACTTTGATAAATCTAGTTTCTTGTCTCATCTCAGCTTATTGACATCGCAGATGAAAAGAGCTTCCTTACTGCATTCCTGTTGGAGCTTAAAGGCTTTACAATGGTTTATTGATGAATTACTATTTTGAAAATCAAGACTGCTGAGGCTTAAGATTGTAGTGACAATTACATGGTGTTTTGTTGCGAAGTTAACAATTTGCATGGGACTGATGATAGCTTGACATTAAGCAAATAAAGTATTATTATTGTAATTCAGTACAGAATTTTGTAGAAAACACTTTCTTGGACCAGTGCACAGATGTCAACAACAGTACTGTGGTATCTTTTTCATGTGATAATTTAACCACTTATACACTATTACTCTTGGCAATTTTAACTGCCTGATGCAAATATAGAACTGCTGACTCCTGTAAGCGCTAAGGTGTGTGAGTAACTGTTTCCAGAGGATTCGTTCTGCTGCAGGTTATTTATCTGTGTGAAGGAACTTGAAGGAACCATGTTTAGAGGCTGATCCTGGAAGACCCTGTAGGAGTTTACTTGGCAGCATACAAGCCTGAAAGACAATGTTCCTAGGTGAGAAGATTTTTCAAATACATTTTAGTCCACTTATTGCTGTCTCTGATAATAGCTATATCCTCACTGGAAAACACCTTCAATATATCAACTATGCTGAGTTTATTTTGATTGAGCACTGATTTAACAAGAAAATTTGATAACTTAGTCACAACAACAGAGAACTGGGCAAAACCTGGTAATTCCCAACATACCCAGTACCAGGTGTCAGGAGTTGCTTTAAGATATTCAGGGTAACTCTGAAACATAGTATTTGCCTGACTCTGTTACTGCTTATATGAAAACATTCAATGCCTGTATTCAATGCATAAAACGTAGTACACTAAAGCAGGATATAGCCTGGGAATGCTGAACCCCTCACCTCTCACACCTGCAGTTCTTCCACAATACATGCTTGTTCTTGGGAGGTACAGTTTGGGATTTGGTGCTACAGTTCTTGGGTTTTCATACATATCTTTCAGAGCGATATATAGACAATCCCAATCAAGGCTAATATTTTATTTCTTCTAGCTGGATGACTGTGAGAGAAAACTAGAAGAGCACTGCTCACTCCAGTCCTACTTACCCAAGGCCATCCTGGCAGTAATGTGTGCCTTCTTGAAAGTGCAGCTTGATGGACCAGTGGTATGTAGGCAGTACAACATTTAATATTTCATTTACCAAATGAAAATTAGCAGTTCTGATGCCTAATCAGACTTAATCATATGAGAAGATACATGCACTCCAGGTTCCATTATGGCTCACTGGGAAACTGTCCATTCAGTGTTCATTCACTCCTTGAGTGAAGATCTTTAACAATATTAGCTTTGAATTACATCTTTTGGTTGAAGATTGGTCATGTGCTTGTGGTACTCCTAAGCTGTAATGATGAGAAAAGAAGGATCTCTGGTGCTTTCAGCTGTCTAGGAGCATAAAAACCCTACACAGAGCATGAGAAAAAAGTTGCCTCTTCTAATTCTGATTAGTGGTGTGACAGAATCCTAGAGATTGCCAGATCTAACAAAATATTATACACTTTGATAAACCACATGCGCCTACACAACCCAGTGCGGTGCTGAGGGCAAATATAGATTGATGATACAAATCTCACAGGATAAAATACTAACCTAATGCTTTAATACCCTGAGAGTGTTATTCACTGCTGACTAACTCAATACATTATTGTTTTTTTTTTTTTTTTAAGAAAGAAATGTTTGTCTCAAACTGCAAACAATGAGGGCATTTCCACAGCTTTATTTCTTCTTGTTCCATACAGTTGCATTATGGGTTGAGTCTGTGTTGACTCCATTTCTACATTCTGCACAAACCACTGCTTTATGTTTTGCCACTTAAGACTGCCATCATTAAGTGAGCCATAAACTGCAAATTTTGCAGTATACTATCATGGTTACCTTTGAACCTCACTGATGAAATGTATTGTTTTATTTTCATTGATTCTTATTTCATTCAGATGACTTCTGAGTATGTACAGAGTATATTACACATTTCTATTTACAAAGTATTGTTACTGTCTTCATTACTAGTATTTTACTATATAGTCATAAATAATTTGAAAATGCATTTTTTCTCCATTTAAATCTACAAATATTTGTTAATTTTAACCTTGTGCAAGATCATGAGATTTCTACTACGTTGTATCCTTTTTCCATTTGTCCCAATGACACACCAACTATGATTACAATTTGTCCTGTGCATCCCAAAACTTCACTTGCCAAACACCAATAGACCATGTTCCGAATGGCCAAGCTACCTTTCTCATTGTTTCAACACAAAATTGCTAAAAAGTAAACAGTACATGTAACATATTTATCACATTCTTTGTCCTTGGGATAACAAAAAAAAAAAAAATCCATTGTTTCTGTAAATGTAGAGTAGCAGACAAGAGAAGTCTGTTTGGATATACTGAATATAAACACAGGAGCGAGCTGTCACATCTCAAAGGCACTGCTCAGTGCAAGAGGTCTGCTTCAGATCACAAGACACTGCTGCATTCACTGTGCTTCCTTCTGTTCACATTGCAGTGAATTCTGGGCCTGGTAGTCCTTGTGCAGCTTGTGCTGCACATTGTGTAGATGATCCAGCTGGGGACAAAGTGCTCTGCTGGATTCTCTATGGAACTAAGTGTACATTTTCTTTTTGTTTTATCCCCAATAAATTTTTTTAATTATTATTATTTTTAATATTTGCAAACTGGCAGCATTCTCTCTAGTCCTTCTGGGAGGGCTGGAATTGGTGCAGCAGGCTTTAAAACTCCATGCCAACAGCTTCACTTCTGAGCTGATGTTACCCACTGATGTACAGGTGATGTTGCATCCTTTCTGGCCTTAGCTTCTTCCAGTGGCTAGGAGTAAAACTATGCTAAGTCTCTAGATGAAAGGAGAAACTGACAAACTCAGCCTGATCTGTCTTGACAGATGGTTGGTGATGGGCAAAGAATCTCACTGCTCTTTTCCATGTTTGCTGACGTACATTCAGCAGGCACGACAGACAAGTGTACAGGAAGCTTGATGAAGGATCGAGCATCCCAAAAGGAATATAAAATCTATCTGACTTTGCAGGTAAGAGGGTTAGAAAAGACAAGGCTCACCTAGAGTAGAATCTAATAAGGGATGTGAAGGGCAAACTTGGTGATTTCTGTGCCTCACTCTTTACCTAGAAAAACATTCTTCAAAAATCCCACTGAGATCGGTGGGAAAGTCTGGAAGAGAAAAGAAAGGTATAACCTGGTGGAGGACCAGGTTAAGGACTGTTTAAGCAATCTGCATGTATGTAAGTCAGCAGCTGGACTGGATGACTTCCAGAGGTCCCTTCTCACTCGGTGATTCTGTAATAACGGATATAATCTGCCTGGTCCACTGCACAGATCTAAGGACACCTGAAGTGAGCCATTTTCATCAGACTAAGTTTGCAGCAGATTGTAAGTGGATGTTACCTTTCCAGTAAAGAGCAGTAGGGTAGGAATATTGTGTGGGAAAGTACAGCTATGACTTCCAGTACAATACAGCTGTTTCCATGTCTCAGCATCGATTATCAGACATATTCTATCCCACAGTTTCTCACAGATAACCAAATGCTTACATTATTATATTGCCAAATAGGACAAGTCTAGCATTGTCTGTAAACTTAGCTCAAAAGAGCGCAGGTATCCCAGTCAAAGATGATTTATCTGAAAGACAGTAAAAAAAGAGTTCACCAGGGCAGTAAGAACTGCTTATGAGAAATTAGGATGGGGTTGGGACTGAAGAATTGCAAGACAGAGCTTTAATCACAGGGGGCAGAAGGGTTGGAACTAGATGGTCCTTAAGGTCCCTTTCAATCCAATCCATTCTATGAATATTGCAGGACTGCTCCACAGGGAGCCATACAGACAGCCAGGAAGCCTCCAAGAACAGACCCTTCATTTCCATGGATCTGTCGTGCTTTTAAGTATTTTTCCTGAACCAAAGCCTTCATTCAGAACACAACTAAACTTAAGGAAAGTCTAGATCCCATTTCACGTGGCTCAAGACCATTTCTTACTAGAACTGGGAAGTCTAGATATAAATCTTTGTCCAAAACAGTAATCTTCTTATATTTCATTATGAGCACCACAAGCCTCTGTGAAGTGGTCTCTATCAGAATAATAATAACAATGGGTTGTGACTATGCTCTCCATCTTAAGTTCACAACAGACTCACTAATACATTAAATCTTTGCCAGCCTTTGATTTACTGGTACTCACTAAGCCTTTTCACACAGCTGCTGACAGTCGGTAAGTCCTAGGTAGCAGCTAGCAACTGAGAAGGAAGGAAAACCAGATTCTAGTATCACATCTTTTCTATTCTTGACTATGGGAGTACATCATTTCAGGATGTGTTATCTCAACAAGCTGCTGAAGATAGTTCAAACTAATCTAATTTTGCCTTGCTTTGAACTGAATGGGTGTAAGTCTTAGCTGAGAGCTGTTAACTGACAACAAGGGCTCTTCTGCTCCATCTAGGGAGAAAATTCAAACAGGTGAATTTAATCTGTTTGATTTTTGTCTTCATAGGAACAGAAGTTCTCAGGTGGGTAATTACTGAACTACAGCCAGCAGCCATGACTCACAGATGAAGAGCAGCTAAGGACAATTTCTAATTTTTTTCTTTTCAGTTTTGTTTGCCCTACTCAAGCTAGAAGGGGAAAAATGCTGAATTTGTTTATTCTGTTGCTGTGTTAACTTTGCATAAACTCTAAGGTAAATTCAACTAAACTAGGTTAGCAAAGTTAGATTAGACTTTTTGCCTTTTAGATGTCCAGAGATGAATGAAAATGGCTGCTCCCTTTAAAAGAGCTGAAGTTTGTTTCAGTTCTTGTTGTGGGTAGAGAAATTCTGCTTTTTGACAATAACTTATGAGCTGAAGGATAAAAATATAAAGTGCTCTCATCTCTAGCAGAATCAGTGCATGCTCTTGGGAGGTGGCCTTTCCTAGCAGCTACTTCAGACCGTATGTGCTTAAATTTATTATGGGTAATGCTTTTACTGGGTATGTATTTTCAACATTCATATTCTTTCTCTGCACCTTTGCACAAGTGCAAACTTTTGTTTCCAAAAAGCAAATCTGTATGCCAGTCAACTAATAACTATGTATATAACCTTAGTAAATAACCAGATGTTTGGAGCATGTTTGTCTTCCTTTCAATATTGTAGTAGAGAACAAAGTTGTATAAAATAAGAACAAATGCTTCATTTTGTTTCCTCTGTATTGGGAATAAATTCTTCTTAATTTTTCTTCAGCTAATAACAACAATGAGTTCTTGTGCTGTTATACTCAGTATCCACATAACAAATACGCTATTAACTTGTCACAGATGGATGTGGCTATCTACCACTGAATCACTGAGTGAGCGCTGTCTCATATCCTAGTGGCTTCCTATAGGAAAATAACATTGTGGTGGTGGGGTGGAGGGAGAAAACAAAAACACGCCTGATATATCTGGAATTATAAGGAGGTAGCTAAGCTGTTTTTCCTGAACTTCAACAGCACCACACAAAGGTCTGTGCTCGTGGACTTTTTCCCAGTCAGAGCTCAGCAAATATTTTTAAAATTAGCTCCAGATTTATTTTGTTTTTACTATTTTTGTTGCTAGAGAGCCATCTTGTGGTGGATCTTGAACAAATAAAATAGAAGTCGTCAGTTCAGAAATTACGGTCTGCAAAGACTCTGGTGGTGGCTTTGCATCTTCCACATACCTGCACTTCTCAAAGCTCCTTTTGAAATGGAAATAATCTAATCTCAAATTACATTTCTGAGTCATAGTAATATTTGTTAGGGCCTGGGGAGGCGGGCATGTTTCTCTTTGCTGCCTTTTGAAGAACTAAATTGAAAGGATTTGGAGTGCTAACAAAAAGCTACAACTTACAATACAGATTTATCCATTCCCTAACAGATAATGTACTGATTATGGAAGGAAGCAGATGGTCTAGTTTTATTAATGTAATATGTATGGGTTTTTTTTTTTTAGGGTTTTTTTTTTTTTTTTTTTTTTTTTTCAGCCAAAAGACTTATTAAATATTCCAGAATCGCTTAAAATTCTAACATTACCTGTTGCCTAGAGTTCTATGAAAAACTGTTTGTCATTGGGATGCTTGCAGATCACAAGACTTATTTGCCATCATGAAAATTTTGCATTATGCTCTGAATTCCTGTTTTTCAAATCTGTGGCTAACTAAAAGATGGAATCATATGAAGTAGAACCAATAAAACCATTCTAAAAGCTCTCAATTTTGGTGGGTTTCTCCTTCTGTAAGACAGAAATGCACATATGGTGCCAAATAAAAGTGTTGCATGCAAAAAGTTACCATGCTTCTGAAAAAGACAACATTCAGAGGAAAAACAAAATTAAAAAAAAAAAAAGTCTGTCCATAAAATGGAATGCATTAACACATTGACTGTTTTCCCTCTGTAGCTTTGTATAAGAAATTTACAATTTTTTTCTGTATGTATATAACTGTTCCCTTGTCCATTAATAACCTATAATTATCCTTTGTCCTTTCACTGAAAGGAGAAAAGCACTGTGTAGCCAATGATGAAGAAGTAATTACAGAGGGTTCTTACATTAGTATGCAATAATTAACACTATCTCTTAAAACTTCAGGTTTAAAATTTAAAAAGCATGGTATTACACAAGAGCCTCTGCAGGAGTTGTTTAATTACTCTCCTTTGCTCATCTTTCCTGTTGGTTGTTCTAGGTGGATAACAGGCTTTCACTGGGTGTAACAACAACAACAAAAAGTCAAAGAATGAAGACTGTTTAAGAATTTAATAAGGAAGCAACACTGAGGTGAATTCCAGAAAGTACCTGTGGGACACAAGTTGGAGAACAGACAGATGTGATCCTTGGAGCAATCTTGCTTAAAATCTGTCTTCCATGAAAATGCTTTGATTGACAGTTTAATTTTATAATGGTAACAAGATCAACAGTCTTGCTGCTTTGTATGAGTTTTAAGCAAGCAAATGGGTCCCAGAGTTTCCTTTAGGCTCTCTAGCACAGTGCTGGAAATGCAGCATCAGTGTCAAACGAAGCGTGACCAGCAGGGCAAAGTGAGTGGCTGTTCACCTCTATTCTTCCCTTGTGAGACTTCATTTGCAGTACTGCATTCAGCTCTGGGGGCACCAACATGAGGACACAAAGTTGTTGCAGTGAGCCCTGAAGAAGGCCAAAAAGATGATCAGAGGGGTGGAGCACGTATAAAGGTAGGCTAAGAGTGTTGAGGCTCTGGGTAAGGAGTCTCTGGGGAGACTGTATAGTGGCCTTCCAGTATTCAAAAGGGGCCTCAACCTCAAGATGAGGAGAGATGCTTTATCAAGGACTGTAGTAATAGGACAATGGGTAACAGCTTTAAACTAAAAGGGGGTAGATACGGATAAGCTATTACAAATAAATTCTTCATTCAGAGGGCAGTGAGGCACTGGCACAGCTGCCCATGTAAGCTGTGGTGCCCCATCCCTGGAGATGCTCAAGTCCAGGTTGGATGGGGCCATGGGCAGCTGAGCTGAGGGGGGGCAGCCCTGTCCATGGCACAGGGTGGGACTGGGTGGGCTTTGAGGTCCCTTCCAACCCAAATGTATGATTCTGTGAATTTTAGCACATAAATTGTTGATATAAATTTTAGAAAATGCAACCAGGTATTTTCCTTCCTCACTTACAGCAAATGCTTGATCCACAAAATGGGAAGTTTGTTACTGTGGTCTTATCAACACTGTCATAAAGAAGCCAGATTCATTACAAGTAAAGGTCTACACCTTGTAACAGTGTGATCAGACAAAGACCTGGCATTTACATGTTAATCTCTGAGCAGTGAGTGATGTGTACTAAGCATGTCCTTTGGTCAAGATTGTTGCTTGTAACTGAAAATAACATGCTTTAACTTAAGAGTTTTGAGGAATCTGGAATTTAAAGCACTGACACCATAAAGCTAGTCACTGTTCTTTGGGGCAGGTTCTGGCACCACGGCCTCTTCAGTACCCTAACTACGATGTAAAGCTGTTTTTCCTGGCAAATAGACTGGAGAAAATACGGTACAAACAACTATTCT